CCCCAAGAAAGGTATATAAGACCTAGTCCTCCTTGCATAAGGGGCTCAGGGCTTTGGAATTCTAATCCCCCTGAGTCAGCTGGCTTAATAAACCTGTGTTCTCCGTCTCTCTGAGTGACTGAGTTTCCTTTTGGCTACTCCTTCCCATAACAATGGCAGCTGTTCATAGGATATGTCAGGGCAGCATGGGTGTATGGAAGAATATTGGACCCTGGATTAGTGGTATGGAGTGTAAGACTTGTGCACCGTGCACAAATCCCACATGTTGGGATGGCTCGCCTCACAAAGACCATGAGACAGAGACCATTGTAATCAAACAAGAGGAGTTTATTCCAGCATGCTGGGGTCGCTCAGTCTCCTGGACAGGAGCGGCAAAAGCGACCCCCAGCCCAAGTTACTTTTGGTTTTTATGTTTAGTTTTAAGCTAATTTTGCGGTTAGCATTTAGCATGATCAAATGACTGTCAACTTTAAAACTAGCCAATGCAAGCAAGCCTCGAGTACATAGCTAATTTTGTGGTTAGCATTCAGCAGAAGTTTTTTATCTGTCCCTTCCCCCCTCCTATTACTTTTTAAAAAACTTATAGTGACATCCTGTTAGGCACACAGGATGTTCTGCAACTGCGAGCACAGCTGGCTTGCAGAAGCTGAAATATGTGGGTTACAGCAGAGCATAAAACTTTCCACAAAAACATGTTTTTTTTTTTCCTTTTTGTCTTTTTTCATGACCAGTAACGGGATCACAACCCTCGGTGTTGCGCCTGTACCACGACCGGCAACGGGATCGCAACCCTCGGTGTCACGCCCACACCACGCTCAACCAGTGAGCGGACAGGTCTCTATATGGGATCTGAGCCCTCGGCGGGAGCGCTGCCGCGCTCCCAAGCGCCGCACTTTACCGAGTGCGCCACTGGGCTGGCCCACATAAACATGTTTTTAAGGAAGCTTTTGGGTAAGAGTCTTATCACACCTGGGTATATAGGGCAGGAAGTGTGGTTACCTGAGGAGGAGTCTCTGAGAGCTAGCCTGCTTCTCATCTACACAAGAAGGAGCTGAGAGCTGATAGCCTGTGGTTTTCTTGCTAACACAAGCACAAGCTTGTAACCACAGAGGTATAGAGTACAGAAATATTCAGCTGTTTTTATATCTTCACATTTTCCCCTTTTTCTTGTGTGTATTTCAATCATGAAATACTGTCTCCTGTTGATTTAATTCCTGATATTGTTGTTTTAACATCATAACTTGGACAGTACTAACACATTCTCTAACAAAAGCTACTAAGCGATTTAAAATGCAGGGACCAAAGGTTAGAAGCAATACTAAAATAACTAATGGTCTTAGTAGGGTAGACACGAGGGTGGTGAGCCATGGGGAGGAGTTGAACCATGACTCAAACCATCCCTGATTTTGTTCCCTTTCTTTTTTTCTTTTGGCCAGGCCTTTTCTAATTTTGGCCATGGAGTCTTTAATTACCCCTGAGTGATCAATGTAAAAACAACATTCTTCTCTTAGTGCAGTACAGAGCCCTCCCCTGCTGAAGGAATAAGAGGTCTAATCCCTTCTATTTTGTAGGACCACCTCAGAAAGAGAGGTAAGGGACTCTTGTAATTTAGTAATTGAATTTTCTATTTCTTTAATATCAGCATCTATGGCTGCCTGTAAACTTTGGTAATTTTGATGCTGAACAGCCAAAGCTGAAATTCCTGTAGCTGCCCCACCTGCTCCTAATCCTAAACCCAAAAGGACAGAGAGCGTGACAGTTATGGGTTCCCTTCTGGTTTGGTGATACCCATTATTTTTATCCCAGTATGATAGTAGTTCTTCATAGGGATGGTAAACAAGCCAAGGCAGCAACTGAACCAAGACACAGAAATCCTGGGTCTTTTAGGACTTTGAGCTAACACAGGGTGTAACCCCAGTGGCACAGGCTTACTATCCCCCTGGAGGGGGCAACAGATATGTGTCACCAGACAATTTGGTTAAGTTAAGAGTCTGGTTGCACAGTTGGCTGTGTGAGGGAGGGATTTTTCCCACACATGTTCCTTGTCCCGCAACTGCTGGCAAAGTGAGTTTGACTCTTTGTTGCTGCCAGCGACAGTCTGAAATCTTGGTTGTAGCATTAACTTTGTCTCTGAAGGCTATTTCCTCATAATATGGGGGAGCAACATTATAACAAAGCCAGCAGGAGTGAGTAGCATTGGTGTTGGTATTATTTAAGACCTTGAAGGCTTCAGAGACTAGGCAGAATAATCCAGGTTGTTTTTGAGGTTTAGGTTCAGGGGTCTGAGTTATTTCCTTTGGTGCTGTAGCCTTTGATGTTTTAGTGGAGGCTGAAGACTCTGGTTGGGTACCCGGGGGTTCTGGGGTAGTCTTTAGCTTGACCATTAGAGATCCCACTGGAGCTAAATATTTATTTGGAAGTAAGCTGGTATACTGGGTTTCTACTTTGAGCTTGATGGTAAACAACAGCCCATCATCATGTCTTTCCTTGTAGAACCTTAACCCCCATGTAAACCCTTTTTCCCACCCAGTGGCTCTTTTCCCTGGATCCGTGAAGGACACTCGGAGGGGGTGGCACCATCCTTTGCAGGCAGGGACATTTTTCCAATTTGGATTCCCTTGGCTCCCTGTCTTTTGGTGGGTATAATTAGCAGTTACCTTTATATAGTCCCAGGATGATGAGAGAGACCCCAATATGTGTCCTTTGAGGTCTTGTAGCCCCAGTTCTTACAAAAATAATCTCCTTTTCCTACACATCTGTGGTTAAGTGCCCTGTTACAGTGGAACCCCAGGCACACATAGAAGGTGAGAGCGCTCAGTATACTTCTCCTATCTCTAGTAGATCAACCCCCCCATGGATCGAGCCCGAGGCACCCTGGTGGGGAGGGGGTAGAAGGTGTTTGTGAGCATTAAAGTATCCTTCCAAATCCCAGTTGGCTGGGGCTCCCATGGATAATTTGCACACATCAGGAAACAGGTCAGGCCACCATGACCCCGAGGTGACCTTGGATGAGTTCCAGATTTTATCTCCTACTCCATTTATAACATACCAAGTTAACTTTTGGGGGGCATGTGGACTGCCAGCTCCTGGGCTCTGGGAAAAGATTTTTAGGCATAAGAAAAGCAAGAGAGTTTTCATCTTACAATATTTAGGGTGTCCAAATAATTTTCAGTTTTAAGGGGTGCTCCTTGGAACTCTGGACTCTCCAGGCGGCGCCTTCTTATCCTTGGTTCTTGGCTGGTGGTGCAGGCTTCACGTGTGAGGCATGGATCCAAGCAGTGATCCCGTCTACCTTTACAGCCGTTGGTGTTGTCAGGAGCACCAGGCAAGGTCCTTTCCAGCGAGGTTCCAGAGTCTGGGAGCAATGTCATCTTACGTAGACTGTGTCCCAGACCTGGATCTGGTGAGAAACCTTGGGGGTCCCAGGTTCATAAGCGGCCACCAGCTGCATCCAGACTTCTTTCTGCACTGCCTGCAGTCCTTTTAACCTGGCATATAAATCACTGTTACTGTGGCAAGTGGGTTCAAAGGCGTCCCCCAGTAAAGTCAAGGGGGCAGGGGTACCATAAAGAATTTCAAAGGGGGTCAGGTTGAACTGGGAGGGGGTGTTCCTAGCCCTAAACAGGGCTAAGGGAAGGAGCATCACCCAGTCTACGCCAGTCTCCATGGTTAATTTAGTCAGGGTCTCTTTTAGAGTTCTGTTCATCCTTTCTACCTGTCCTGAACTCTGGGGTCTGTAGTTACAATGTAATTTCCAATTGACCCCTAGGTATCTGGCCACTCCCTGGCTTACCTTGGCAATGAAGGCGGGCCCATTGTTGGACCCTATTACATTGGGCACCCCGAAACGTGGGAAGATTTCTTCCAGGATTTTCTTGACTATGACGGTGGCAGTTTCCTGTTTTGTTGGGAATGCTTCTACCCATCCAGAGAAGGTGTCTACAAAAACTACGAGATATTTGTAACCATATTTACCTGGCTTGATTTCTGTGAAATCTACTTCCCAGTATACTCCTGGTCTGTTTCCCCTGAGTCTTTTGCCAAGTCCCACAGTATTTTTACAGACATTTACTTTTTGACACGGTACACAATTTTTAACTATTTGTTCTGCTAACTGTCTTAGCCCTATGATGTGATATTTTGTTCTTAGGGCAGTCTGGACTAATTTGTTTACTCCCAGATGAGTCCATCGGTGCATTTGTTTAATCATGGCACGTGCTTGTTCTTGCGGCAAGATAGGCTTGCCTGACACTGCATGCCAGCGCCCTTTTTCCTGATTAAAGTGGTTATTAGAGTCCTTGAGATCACTGCTACGTCCTCAGCAGAGTATTTAAACTTGGACACCTCTAGTTTTGGGATGTTAACTAGCAGAAGAGACGTGGACCTGTGGGCTGCAGCCCTTGCTTCAGAATCAGCCAAGTTGTTTCCCCTGGCCATGGGGGAATCCCCTTTCTGGTGGCCTGGGCAGTGTATAATATTCACTTTTAGTGGTCGGTGAAGGGCCTCCAACAGGGCTATGATCCCTGCCTTGTTTTTGATTTCTTTTCCTCTAGAGGTCAGCAGACCCCTCTGTTGATAGATAGCACCATGCACATGGGCAGTGGCAAAGGCATACCTGCTGTCTGTGTAGATGTTGATTCTTTTGCCCTCTCCTAGTTCAAGGGCTTTTGTGAGGGCGATGAGTTCTGCCTTCTGAGCGGACATTCCTGCAGGTAAGGCCTGTGCCCATATCAGGTTCTGGCCATCTACTATAGCGGCTCCTGCTTTCTGCACTCCTTCTTCCAGGAAACTGCTGCTGTCAGTGAACCAGGTGGCTTCGGCGTTCATCAGAGGCTGGTCTGACAAGTCTTCCCATCATCCATGTACCTCAGCAAGCACTTGTTGGCAGTCATGGATAGGAGGGTCAAGGTCAGGGTCTGGGAGCAACGTGGCTGGATTTAAGTTCGCTGGGGGAGCGAAAGTAACCCGGTCTGCATTTAGGAACAGAGTCTGATAGTGAGTCATATGAGCATTTGTGAGCCAGCGGTCGGGGGATGGCAGACAACACTCTCTAAAGCATGAGGTGCCGAGATTACCAAACTCTGTCCCATAGTCAACTTATCAGCATCTTTTACCAGAACTGCGACTGCTGCTATAATCTTTAGACAAGCTGGCCACCCCGATGCTACAGGGTCTAGTTTTTTAGACAGATATGCTACAGGCCTTTTCCAGGGGCCCAGTTTTTGAGTTAGGACCCCCTTTGCAACCCCCTTATTTTCTGCCACATACAGGTGGAAGGGCTTGGTTACATTGGGGAGCCCTAGGGCCAGTGTGGACATCAAGGCTGTCTTGATGTTGTTAAAAGCCTGTTGTTCCTCTTTTCCCCACTTGAAGGGCTGACTGTTTTTAGTGAGGGGATATAACGGGGTTGCCATCTCAGCAAAACCAGGTATCTATAGGAAGCAGAACCTGGCAGTGCCTAAAAATTCCCTGACTTGTCTTGGATTAGCAGGTGGCAGAATATGAAACACTGTCTCTTTTCTGGCCTCAGACAACCATCTTTTCCCGTCTTTAAGAAGGTACCCCAGGTAACTGACCTGTCGCTTGCAGATCTGAGCCTTTTTGGTGGAGGCCCGATAGCCCAGTTCTCCCAACTCTGTAAGGAGACGCTTTGTTCCTTTCAGACACAGTTCTTCGTCAGCTGCTACCAGGAGGAGATCATCTACATACTGCAACAGAGTTACCTGAGGGTTAGAGGCCCGGAACATGGCCAAGTCCTGGTGGAGGGCCTCGTCAAAGATGGTGGGGGAGTTTTTGAATCCTTGAGGCAGGCGAGTCCACGTGAGTTTCCCTGCTAGGCTGAAAGATCCAGTCTCTGGATCTTTCCACTCGAAGGCAAAGTAATCCTGGCTTTTTACAGCCAGCGGTAAGCAGAAGAATGCATCTTTGAGGTCCAATACAGAGTACCAGGTCCTGTCTGGAGGCAAAGAACTTAAAAGATTATAGGGATTGGGAATGGTAGTGTGGAGGTTGGCTACACGTTTGTTTACCTCTCGGAGGTCTTGGACTGGCTGGTAATCATTAGTTTCAGGTTTCTGGACTGGTAGCAAAGGCGTGTTCTAGGCTGATTGGCTCTTGCATAGGATCCCCAGCTGGAGCAAATGGATGATGTGGGGTCGGATGCCTTCATGTGCCTCTCGGAACATTGGGTATTGTCGGACAGCTATAGGACTAGCTTGAGCCTTCAGCTCTGTATTAACGGGGGGCTGGTTTTTAGCCTTTCCTATCCCTGCAGTTTCTGCCCACACCTGGGGATAATTCTCTAACCACCAGTCCATCTGTCCGGTTTCCCACCCTTGCTTTTCAAACAATTGGTATTCATCTTCCAGCCTGAGAGTCAGTACCTGGAGAGGCTTTCCTTGTTTATTTAACACCTGAGGTCCCTCGGGGTCAAAGTGGATTTGAGCACCCATTTTGGTGAGGAGGTCTCTTCCTAGAAGTGGGTAGGAGCACTCAGGAATGACAATGAACGAGTGGGATACCCGGCCCATGCCTAGGTCCACTGTTCTTTGGGTAGTCCATGGGTACTGTCTGTTCCCTGTTGCTCCCTGCACCCATGATTTTTATTCAAGAGGGGTCCATCTGTTTGCAGTAACACTGAATGCTGAGCCCCAGTATCTACCAAGAACTGAGTAGGCTTCTCCTCCACTGTAAGGGTTACCCTGGGTTTGGGGAGGGGGTCCGAACCCTGTCCCCCCAAGCACTGTCTTCCTGCAGGGCCAAGACTTTGGGGGCTTGAGGCTTTTTCTTTTTCTTGGAGCATTTTTGAGCCCAATGTCCTTTCTCTTTGCAGTAAGCACACTGATCCTTTGCTAGGGGCTCCTTCTTGTTGCCCGGTACTGTCTTACTAGTTTTTCTAGTCTCCCTAACTACAGTGGCCAGAATCTTATGAAGATTTTTTTCTTGGCGCTTTTCTCTTTTAATCTCTTTAGCTTCCTGCTCTTTCTGTTTTCTCTCTTCTTTTTCTTCTTCTGACTCTCTATTGTGATAGACCTTTTCAGCCACCTGCACTAATTCCTTTAATGACTTATCTTGTAACCCTTCAAGCTTCTGCAGTTTCCTCCTGATGTCTCTACTAGACTGGCCAATAAAAGCAACTGTCACTGTAGCCTTGTGCTCTTCACTACTAGGATCATACGGGGTAAACTGGCGGAATGCTTCCATGAGTCTCTCCAGAAATGCTGATGCAGAGTCACTGGGCCCCTGGATTACCCCTCTTACCTTTGTCAAATTGGTGAGGCGTTTTCCTGCCCCTCAGAGACCTGCCATTAGAGCCTGGCAATAGACCTTCAGGTGCTCCCTACCTTCTGCCGAGTTGAAATCCCAGTTTGGTCTGGTCAACGAGAATCCTGCATCTATAACAGTAGGGAGGAGTGTAGGTCGCCCATCGTCTCCTGGAACATTCTTTCAAGCCTCCAGGAGGATTTTTTGTTTCTCTTCAGTGGTGAACAGGACCTGGAGGAGCTGCTGGCAGTCATCCCAGGTGGGCTGATGAGTAAAGAGGAGGGATTCTACAAGGTTAGTGAGCCCCTGGGGGTTTTCAGAGAAAGGGGGATTCTGAGATGTCCAGTTGTAAAGATCAGAAGAGGAGAAAGGCCAGTACTGTAAGGGCTGGTTGCCCTCTTCATCAAGAGGGCTATAAGCCCCAGAGGGAAGGTGGGAACAGCTTCCAGAGGGGCTGCTCCCTTACTACGTGTCCCCTGCGCAGGCCCTTCCCTTGCTTCTTGTGGGTCCTCTGGCAGCGCTGATGGGCGGGCGGCCTGAGGGCAGAGGGATGGGGGATAAGGGGGAGGAGGGTCTAGGAGAAGCAAGTCCAATTCGGTGGGAGGTAGGATCTCCGATTTTTTCTCCATCTCTTGAAGAGCAAACACAGCCGAAGGACCTGTTAGGGGAACAAAAGGACGGATCCACAGAGGAGGGTCCATGACCAGGTCTTCCCAGACAATGATATAAGGGACCTGGTCTGGGTGACTCTTAGAAGTGAAACCAAAATTTGTTTTCTTTACTGCTGAGATCAGCGGTGGGGAAAAGGAACCTTCGGCAGGCCACCCGAGTTGAAAAGCTGGCCATTCTGTGGAACAAAGAGTTACCCATTTACTTTTTAAAATTTCAACAGACAAATTATGAGCCCTAGTTTTTATGTCAGTCCAGTATTTCAGAGTCAGATTCAAAGGGGTCAAAACAATCTGCCCCATGTTGCCCCAGAAAGTTGTCAGTCCCAACACACACACAACCAGACAAACAAAAACCAAAACACTGACATGCCCCTGCCATGGGCACCACAACCTGATTATCAGAGAACTCGGGAGGGGTCTCCTCCTTAGAGATCTCCCATGGAGCCGAACCTGTTCATCTCCAACAGAGGAATCCAGAGTATCCCCCAGGATTCTTGTGGCCACGACGTGCTGGTACGTCTACCTGCCGCTATGACCACTACAGACCGATGGCTCCGTCTTGAATCCTCAGAAAATCCAAAACCAGACCAATGATTCCATCTCAAAGCCACCAAAAAACCAAAACCAAATTACAGCAGACAACAAAGAAACAAAGACAGACACAGCAGACTGACAGACAACTGTGGTACCTGCTCGAGCAATCCTCCATTCTCTAGTCTCTGGTCTCAGAGAGAGAGCCATTTCCCGGCCAATGAACCGAAAATGTAAGACTTGTGTGCCATGCACAAATCCCACATGTCGGGATGGCTTGCCTCACAAAGACGACGAGACAGAGACCATTGCAATCAAACAAGAGGAGTTTATTCCAGCATGCTGTGGTCGCTCAGTCTCCTGGACAGGAGTGGCCAGAGTGGCCCCAGCCCAAGTTACTTTGGTTTTTATGTTTAGTTTTAAGCTAATTTTGCGGCTAGCATTTAGCACGATCAAATGATTGTCAACTTTAAAACTAGCCAATACAAGCAAGCCTCAAGTACATAAGCTAATTTTGCGGTTAGCATTCAGCAGAGGTTTTTTATCTGTCCCTTTCTCCCCCCCCCATTATTTTAAAAAAAACTTATAGTGACATCCTGTTAGGCACACAGGATGTTCTGTAACTGCGAGCACAGCTGGCTTGCAGAAGCTGAAATATGTAGGTTACAGCAGAGCATAAAACTTTCCACATAAACATGTTTTTAAGGAAGCTTTTGGGTAAGGGTCTTATCACACCTGGGTATATAGGGCAGGAAGTGTGGTTACCTGAGGAGGAGTCTCTGAGAGCTAGCATGCTTCTCATCTACACAAGTAGCTGAGAGCTGACAGCCTGTGGTTTTCTTGCTAACACAAGCACAAGCTTGTAACCACAGAGCTATAGAGTACAGAAATATTCAGCTGTTTTTATATATTCACAGGAGTACACCAGCTTCATGCCACCTCCTCCCTGGCCCTGAAGTATAATTCATCACCAGTATGGACTTGAACATTGTCAGTGCCTGACTTCTCTTCTACATGACCCTCTGCTTCCTTGTCCAGAGTCTTCTGCTGGAAGGGGCAAAATTCAGCTTTTAACCTATGGTAGTTATAAAGTCAGGTGCTGAGTGTTTCTTTGGATCATGTCTGGTGGCTCTTCAGATTATAACAGCAGAGAACATGGTGGCCCAGAAGGAATGGACTTAGATAGTGTCATCGAGAACCACTGGAATGAGATTTTTGATAACTTTGATGATATGAAATTAAAGGAGTCTCTTCTCTGGGGTATCTGTGCTTATAGTTTTGAGAAGCCTTCCGCTATTCAGCAGAGAGCTATTATTCCTTGTATTAAAAGGGCCAGCCTGTGGCTCACTCGGGAGAGTGTGGTGCTGATAACACAATGGCCACAGATTCGGATCCTATATAGGGATGACCGGTTTGCTCACTGGCTGAGTGTGGTGCTGACAACACCAAGCCAAGGGTTAAGATCCCCTTACCGGTCATCTTTAAAAAAAAAAAAAAAGATCCAAAAGGTAATTCTGACACTTGGAGACTATCTGGCAAAAACTTGTCATGCCTGGATTGGTGGGACAAATGTCCAAAATGAAATGCAAAAACTGCAGGCCAAAGCACCACGTATTGTTAGTGGTGCACCAGGGAGAGTGTTTGATATGTTCAACAGGAGGTATCTTTCTCCAACATGGATCAAAATGTTTGTTTTGGGCAAAGCGGATGAAATGTTGAGCCAAGGGTTTAAGGATCAAATCTGAGATTTTCCCAAAAATTAAATACAAGTGTTCAGGTTGTGTTGCTTTCTTCCACAATGCCACTGATGTGTTGGAAGTGACCAAAAAATTCATGAGAGATCAAATTCAAATTCTGATGGAGAAAGAAGAATTAACCCTTGAAGGAATCAAACAGTTTTGCATTAATGTTGAAAGAGAGGATTGGAATTGGGATAGACTTTGTGACTTGTGTGATGCACTGACCACTATGCGGGCTGTCATTTTTCTCAATACAATGCACGAGGTGAACAGGCTTACTGAGAAAATGCACACCAGGGACTTCACAGTTTCTGCTCTGCATGTTGATATGGACCAGAAAGAAAGAGAAATTAATATGAGGGAATTTCGATCAGGGTCTGTTCTGATTGCTACTGAATTGTTGGTTCATGGAATTGATGTACAACAAATGTCTTTGGTTATAAACTGTGATCTATCTACCAATTGTGAAAACTACATTCACAGAGTTGGCAGGGGTCTATTTGGAAGGAAAGGTGAGGCTATAAACTTTGTTACTGCAGAAGGTAAGAGGATTCTTCATGACTTTGCCACTTTCTATAATACTACAGTGGAAGAAATACCCATGAATGTGGATGGTCTTATTTAATTCCTGGGATGAGATAGTTTTGAATGCAGGGCTAGCTGTTGCTGAATTGGTGACTACAATGTGCATGGTGCTTCTTTCTTTGGGAATATTTGAATCTTGTCTCAATACTCATAAAATACAGATTTTGATAACAAAGCGACATCAGTCATGAGCTCTTGGGAGGAAAGTCACTCATTGGCTATATCCTCTTTAGACTTAGACTGTTGGGGTGGGTATAAAAGATGGGGTCTGTAAAATATTTCTTCCTGAGAAATTTTTTTTCTGCTTCTGTAGAAATGGTTGTATTAGATGTCCTCTATCATTTAATAATATACTTGTGGACTAAAAGATAAATTCTGTATAAAATCAGCCAATTATGTTAAACTAGCATATATGCCTTTATCATGTTTGTCATGAGCCTGAAAAGGCTTAAAAATTGATTTTTCTTTTTTTTTTTAAGAAAGCATGTGAATGCATTTAGCTTGGTATTGTATTTATGTAATAAAGTATTTAATTAGTGCTAAAAAATAAAATAAAATATTAATCATCATCCCAGTATTTAAAAACCCAAGGAAACATGGGTGGGCATACATATGATTTATCTCATTGAAGATGATGCTGGTTGCTGCGTGAAGACTGGAATGGAGCAGGGTGGGGCTGGAAGTCCTTCCTGATTATACTAGAAAAGGAAGCTGGTTTCCTCCCCCCTCCACTTGTCAAAACATTGGCTGAACTGACCAAATCCTGGTGCAGTTGTCCATCTTACAAAGGGAAATGGTTGTCATAGCAACAAAGAAAACACTCAGAGTCTATTATTTTACCCCATCAATAGACAACAAAAGGCATGCCATATTGTACAATTTGTGTGCCTTTTCACATTTATTGACTTGGTACAATATGGCCATTTTTCTGAATGTCAGGGGCTGTTGTCTTCAATATTCAGGATCCTAGGAAAGCCACTTGTTCTTGTGAGCAGTACGTGAAGTGTCTTTCTAATTATAGTTCTTCTGAATTTCTTGTCCTTTCCTTTAAATAAAATGTCTAGCCATATGTTCAATGAGTAGTAGTCTAAGTTTTATATCTTGCCTAATTTTCTTTGGAATCTGTCAATGTCAGAGCTTTTTACAGTGTTACTGTAAAAATGTACTGAACTTTGGTTGAGAAAACTGGCTTTTCTGAAGATGAAGCAATTTTTAAAAGAGATTGTGTGGGAGTCTGTGTCCTGGTTGCAAAAATAGTTATATCATGCTTTTCAACTAATTTCCTATGTAGAATTTAGCCAGCTTTTTCAATGTTGCATTCACTGTTTTGCCTGGATTTAAACCCACTTTGTAGTTCAAAACCATCTTATGCTTTTACGTAAGGTCATGGAATATTTTACCCAGAGACAGCCAGAGTTAGGAGCAAAGAAGGGGCTAAGTAAAATACATTGAATATCTATGAGAACAAAAACAGATTTAAGTTCCTATCTTTGAATTAAACCATTCTGAGACCAAGAATACTTTTTGACATCTTTCTATTAAATAATACAGGACCAGGCATAAAACACTTACCTGCTTATTCCAGGAAATGCTTACTTCTAGAAGACCAGACTGTAAGCCAGCTAAAATAGGTTGCTCATTAAGATTTGCGTTAAGACTTTGGAAACATTGGGTCCACCTACCCAAAGCTATTACGTCATAAACTCTGCCCAGCCAAAAATACTCTTTACTAATGAAAGGTATCAATATGCCACCCCAAAATATGCCACTTTGGCATAAGAATTATTTTTAGCTGAAGGCAACTGAGAATCAACAGATGCAGGAAGAGTTCTCTGCCCTCCCCTTATCTTTCTGAAAGTAGGCCATAACTTTCCTTTTGAGAAAGATTCTCATGTCCATACCCCCATAGCAGAAAGAGAAGAGAGACTCTTAGCATCGGATATGTGGAGTTGACATCAAGAAGTGTTTGCATAATTAGACCTTACTAAAATAGCCCTTACTTTTTATTAGTTCCCTCCTACATATTTCCTAGTCAATTTTCTGTAATTCATTGTCCCTTGAAGTCCAATTATTCTCATTTCTTTCTTTTGTTAAAAGGGTTTATAATCCCCTGATTCTAACTGCTTCTTTGAGCTTTCCCTCTTTGCTGTGAATTCCCGTAAAAGTAAATATAATAAAAATTATGTGTCTTTTCTCCTGTTAATATGTCTTTTGTTAGCTTAATTTGCAGACCCCAGTTACTAAACCTAAGAGGGTAGAGGAGACATTTTCTTTTTTCCTTGACATTAATTTCCCCATTTTGAGATACTACCAAGACCTTGTTAAAATCGTGTTCCCCTTTACTGCAATAAATCTAATAAACTTAGCTTTGCATGATCAATAGGTTTTACTGAAGGTCCTTGGTGGTTGACAGCCAAGTTATATATACTGTGTGTGTGTCTGTGT